AACATTTGCCACTGGTCATGAAGTAGTGACGTAACTGGAGTTTACCCCCCCCCCATCCCCCCGCCCTTGAATTTCATGGGGGTGACACCAGAGATGCCGCCCCGAGTGACACCACCTCTAGCGACGCCTCTGGCAAGAGGCCAAACTTGTCTTTAAAGAATGTCATGCCATAAGATGTGAATGTTCATCTCGAAATATGCATAATTTGTTGGTGTTGTGGGATCAAACATATTGGTGATCCTGAATTCTGGTTTTAAGATCACACGAACTTTTGCCTATAAACTGTATGTCACGATCACTACAGAGAGCCTATGTTATGTTTAAGTTTGGGATTCTCCATCATCTCCAGTATCTGAGACTAGAAGGTTGACTATTTCAGTTGTAATCATATTTTAAACTAATCCATTATGTAAGAATAGTGAAGCACTGCGGTTGGTCTACTGGCCCATGCTGGGCAGGTCCAACTCACACCCACCCATGTACCTGACTAGTACTCTTAAAGTTACCCTGAGTTCGTGCTTCAATGACGCTACTTGGGAATTTGTTCCGCTCACCCACAACTCTACTGCCAAACCAGCACTCTCTTATTTTGTTATTATCACACTGGCCGATTCCCACCAAGGCAGGGTGGCCCGAAAAAGAAAAACTTTCACCATCATTCACTCCATCACTGTCTTGCCAGAAGGGTGCTTTACACTACAGTTTTTAAACTGCAACATTAACACCCCTCCTTCAGAGTGCAGGCACTGTACTTCCCATCTCCAGGACTCAAGTCCGGCCTGCCGGTTTCCCTGAATCCCTTCATAAATGTTACTTTGCTCACACTCCAACAGCACGTCAAGTATTAAAAACCATTTGTCTCCATTCACTCCTATCAAACACGCTCACGCATGCCTGCTGGAAGTCCAAGCCCCTCGCACACAAAACCTCCTTTACCCCCTCCCTCCAACCCTTCCTAGGCCGACCCCTACCCCGCCTTCCTTCCACTACAGACTGATACACTCTTGAAGTCATTCTGTTTCGCTCCATTCTCTCTACATGTCCGAACCACCTCAACAACCCTTCCTCAGCCTCTGGACAACAGTTTTGGTAATCCCGCACCTCCTCCTAACTTCCAAACTACGAATTCTCTGCATTATATTCACACCACACATTGCCCTCAGACACGACATCTCCACTGCCTCCAGCCTTCTCCTCGCTGCAACATTCATCACCCACGCTTCACACCCATATAAGAGCGTTGGTAAAACTATACTCTCATACATTCCCCTCTTTGCCTCCAAGGACAAAGTTCTTTGTCTCCACAGACTCCTAAGTGCACCACTCACTCTTTTTCCCTCATCAATTCTATGATTCACCTCATCTTTCATAGACCCATCCGCTGACACGTCCACTCCCAAATATCTGAATACGTTCACCTCCTCCATACTCTCTCCCTCCAATCTGATATTCAATCTTTCATCACCTAATCTTTTTGTTATCCTCATAACCTTACTCTTTCCTGTATTCACCTTTAATTTTCTTCTTTTGCACACCCTACCAAATTCATCCACCAATCTCTGCAACTTCTCTTCAGAATCTCCCAAGAGCACAGTGTCATCAGCAAAGAGCAGCTGTGACAACTCCCACTTTGTGTGTGATTCCCTATCCTTCAACTCCACGCCTCTTGCCAAGACCCTCGCATTTACTTCTCTTACAACCCCATCTATAAATATATTAAACAACCACGGTGACATCACACATCCTTGTCTAAGGCCTACTTTTACTGGGAAAAAATTTCCCTCTTTCCTACATACTCTAACTTGAGCCTCACTATCCTCGTAAAAACTCTTCACTGCTTTCAATAACCTACCTCCTACACCATACACTTGCAACATCTGCCACATTGCCCCCCTATCCACCCTGTCATACGCCTTTTCCAAATCCATAAATGCCCCAAAGACCTCTTTAGCCTTATCTAAATACTGTTCACTTATATGTTTCACTGTAAACACCTGGTCCACACACCCCCTACCTTTCCTAAAGCCTCCTTGTTCATCTGCTATCCTATTCTCCGTCTTACTCTTAATTCTTTCAATTATAACTCTCCCATACACTTTACCAGGTACACTCAACAGACTTATCCCCTATAATTTTTGCACTCTCTTTGTCCCCTTTGCCTTTATAAAAAGGGAACTATGCATGCTCTCTCCCAATCCCTAGGTACCTTACCCTCTTCCATACATTTATTAAATAATTGCACCAACCACCAAAAACTTATCCCCACCTGCTTTTTAACATTTCTATCTTTATCCCATCAATCCCGGCTGCCTTCCCCCCTTTCATTTTACTACTGCCTCACGAAACTTCCCCACACTCACAACTGGCTCTTCCTCACTCCTACAAGATGTTATTCCCCCTTGCCCTATACACGAAATCACAGCTTCCCTATCTTCATCAACATTTAACAATTCCTCAAAATATTCCCTCCATCTTCCCAATCTCAAAACTCCCCATTTAATAACTCTCCTCCCCTATTTTTAACTGACAATCCATTTGTTCTCTAGGCTTTCTTAACTTGTTAATCTCACTCCAAAACTTTTTCTTATTTTCAAAAAAATTTTGTTGATAAACATCTCACCCACTCTCTCATTTGCTCTCTTTTTACATTGCTTCACCACTCTCTTAACTTCTCTCTTTTTCTCCATATACTCTTCCCTCCTTGCACACTTCTACTTTGTAAAAACTTCTCATATGCTAACTTTTTCTCCCTTACTACTCTCTTTACATCATCATTCCACCAATCGCTCTCTTCCCTCCTGCACCCACTTTCCCGTAACCACAAACTTCTGCTGAACACTCTAACACTACATTTTTAAACCTACCCCATCCCCCTTCGACCCCATTGCCTATGCTTTCATTAGCCCATTTATCCTCCAATAGCTGTTTATATCTTACCCTAACTGCCTCCTCTTTTAGTTTATAAACCTTCACCTCTCTCTTCCTGATGCTTCTATTCTCCTTGTATCCCATCTACCTTTTACTCTCAGTGTAGCTACAACTAGAAAGTGATCTGATATATCTGTGCCCCCTCTATAAACATGTACATCCTGAAGTCTACTCAACAGTCTTTTATCTACCAATACATAATCCAACAAACTACTGTCATTTCGCCCTACATCATATCTTGTATACTTATTTATCCTCTTTTTCTTAAAATATGTATTACCTATAACTAAACCCCTTTCTATACAAAGTTCAATCAAAGGGCTCCCATTATCATTTACACCTGGCACCCCAAACTTACCTACCACACCCTCTCTAAAAGTTTCTCCTACTTTAGCATTCAAGTCCCCTACCACAATTACTCTCTCACTTGGTTCAAAGGCTCCTATACATTCACTTAACATTCCCAAAATCTCTCTCTCTCCTCTGCATTCCTCTCTTCTCCAGGTGCATACACGCTTATTATGACCCACTTCTCGCATCCAACCTTTACTTTAATCCACATAATTCTTGAATTTACACATTCATATTCTCTTTTCTCCTTCCATAACTGATCATTTAACATTACTGCTACCCCTTCCTTTGCTCTAACTCTCTCAGATACTCCAGATTTAATCCCATTTATTTCCCCCCACTGAAACTCTCCTACCCCCTTCAGCTTTGTTTCGCTTAGGGCCAGGACATCCAACTTCTTTTCATTCATAACATCAGCAATCATCTGTTTCTTGTCATCCGCACTACATCCACGCACATTTAAGCAACCCAGTTTTATAAAATTTTTCTTCTTCTCTTTTTTTAGTAATTGTATACAGGAGAAGGGGTTACTGCCCATTGCTCCCGGCTTTTAGTCGCCTCTTTACGACACGCATGGCTTACGGAGGAAGATTCTTTTCCACTTCCCCATGGACAATAGAAGAAATAAAAAAGACAGAGCTATTTAGAAAAAGGAGAAAAACCTGATGTTTAATTATATTTGCATTGCGTCGTCTGTGATGTATTACCAAAGTTTGTAAGTTTAGATACCAAGATATCCCTTTATCTTCACGTGATTTATTCGTGACAGTAAAAGAACCAGCAATCCTACCATCATGCAAAACACAGTTACATGTTTTTGTTTCCACAGTCATCTGGCATTGACGGTTATATTTCTGGGTGGTTGCTGTCTACATCTCTCTTTCTAAATCTAAATTGTTTAACTTTAACCCATTTCGGCAAGTGTGTCTGTGGTTAGATATTATATTCATTTATTATGAAAGAGTAAAAGCGGTATTCTCCGACAGGGACCTTTTCAAGTGGTGTTGACGCCTTGGCTCCTCTTTAGGGAGTGTCGAGACCTAAAGTCTCCCATGGAGGAGGACAAGTACCCTTATCTTAGGTGTTGGACCAAAACTGTCCCAGGCCTAGCAAAAGTAAGGCCTTTTTGTTTGCACATCTCGCCCCAGGGGGATATGGGAATGACTGTCTTATGAGCTAAGCTTCGTCTCAGGCACTACCTTACCCTAGAGGGCTGGGCATGGTGTCGATCTTGGTTAGATAGTTTCAGTATTTAATTCATATCCTCCCTACGTATTCCAGGTTCCATTAGTATTCATTAATGTAAGTTTGTATTGAGTAATGATGTAAATAAACGATTTTACCTTCTACTTATAGTCATTATTTTCACCTTTATTTTTCTGTTTCTTAATACTGTGCAGTGGTTGTTATGCTTACTTATATGTGGCTGAATATCAAAATGGTATACAATACCGACAGGTTGGTAGGTAAGACACAGGCAACAGTTAGGCAACTTTATTCCGAAACGTTTCGGAATAAAGTTGCCAAACTGTTGCCTATGTGAGGAAATGGTATGGTGATACCGACAAGATGTGGAAAAAGACACTTATGTACAGTTCAGGACATTTATTAAAGGAAACGTTTCGCCACGAGTGGCTTCTTCAGTCCTAATACAGAGTTTTCTCTGTATTAGGACTGAAGAAGCCACTCGTGGCGAAACGTTTCCTTTAATAAATGTCCTGAACTGTACATAAGTGTCTTTTTCCACATGTTGCCTATGTGTCTTACCTACCAACTTATATGTGGCTGAAGAGGTCGAGACTCAGTTCCTGGCATCTGCCTCTTGCGGCTTGCCAGATTCACCTCATGTAGCCTAATGGGCCCTGTCATTCCTGCTCTTAAAGCTGTGCATGGGGCTTTCCTCCACATCAATGTCGTTCCTGTAATAGTTCATTTCCATTTTAGAAGACTCATAAGAACATAAGAATGGAGGAACACTGAAGAAGGCCTAGTGGCCCATACAAGGCAGGTCCTTATCAAAACCACCCCTACCCAAATTATTATCATAATCAAAAAGAAGCGCTAAACCACAAGGGCCATACAACACCTCTACCCAAAGCTACCCAAGAATTTACTCCTGTACCCACGACACCAATCAAACCCAGCCCCTTCCACTCATATATTTGTCCAATCTCTTTTTAAAGCTACCCAAGGTCCTAGTCTATATCACCCTACTCGGAAGATTGTTCCACGAACTCTGTTCGAAAACCAGTAATTACCTATATCCTTTCTAAATCTAAATTTATCCAACTTAAATCCATCATTTCTGGTTCTTATCTGGTTCGACACCGTCAGTAGTTTAATAATATCACCTTCGTTTATGCCCTTCATCCACTTATACACTTCGATGATATCTCCCCTCATTCTATGTCTCTCCAGAGAGTGGAGATTCAAGACTCCTGGTGTGAGAGCAGGCTACAGGAGTCATGATCCTAGAAAATGTTAACTGATATATCAGAGACCCATTCTCAATTACAGTGATTACACTATTAAGTATTGGAAAGATAAAATGGTGAGGAAAAGTGTTTTATAAGTGTCCCCTCAGATTCCCACTTTGTTCTTCTCTATTTATTTCTGTGTTCCTTCCCTGTCTCTTCTCTCTATATATCCCCCTCACCCTTCATCCCTTCACTCTCCTTATTCCTTCACCCTCCATGTCCCCCTCACCTTCCATATACCCTCACCATCTATGTCCCACTTACCTTCCATGTCCCCTCCCCATCCATGTCCCCCTCACCCTCCATGGTCTTCCACCCTGCCAAATTGACTTCCCTCGCCCTATTTGTTTGACTGAGACCATAAGATCATTACTACCACACACCTTTAGCTCCTCGCCTCACTGCTTTTTAATGACCTTCTTAACGATGTACAAACTAATTACCTTGCTTGCTAATGATTATTCTCACTAATTAAGTTTTTTTTTAAGAGCGCAACAGTAATTTGCTAAGTGGTTACGCACTAATAAACAGAAATATTAATCTCAATCTTAAAATAATGAATCCTGTGATACTCCAATACTGAAACTATGTACTGTGCCAAAACAAAAGCATTCACATTGCTAAACTCACAAACTAGTATTTAGTCACTTAGCCATAATACCAACTTACCTCATAATTTGTAATATTTTACAATTAAGAATAAAACTAAGTATACCCGAAATGCCTAGCCATGCTAGGTGTTCTAGTGGTACACTCTGCAATCACAATTTTACTACATGTAAATCACACAATAACCAAATTTCTGTAAACTCAGCATTGTAATCCTTATAGAGAATAAACTTTGAATAAAACGACTATGTTTTAATTTTTGTTTCACGTCAATGGCTGTCTCCCACCAAGGTTGGGTGACCCAAGGAAGACAACACTTCCACCATCATTCATTCAACTCCTGTTTTTCCAGAGGCATGATTACGTCACAATCAGATTGCCATCCGACTGCAACATTCCAACCCTTACCTCAGAGTGCAGACACTGTCCTTCCCACCTCCAAGACTGCAACATTCCCACCTCTGCCTCAGAGTGCAGACACTGCCTTTCTCACTTCCAAGACTGCAACATTCCCACCTCTGCTTCAGACTGCAGACACTGTCCTTCCCACCTTCAAGACTGCAACATTCCCACCTCTGCCTCAGAGTGCAGACACTGTTTTTCTCGCTTCCAAGACTGCAATATTCCCACCTCTGCTTCAGACTGCAGACACTGTCCTTCCCACCTCCAAGACTGCAACATTCCCACCTCTGCCTCAGAGTGCAGACACTGCCTTTCTCACTTCCAAGACTGCAACATTCCCACCTCTGCTTCAGACTGCAGACACTGTCCTTCCCACCTTCAAGACTGCAACATTCCCACCTCTGCTTTAGACTGCAGACACTGTCCTTCTCACTTCCAAGACTGCAACGTTCCCACCTCTGCCTCAGAGTGCAGACACTGTCCCTCCCACCTCTAAGACTGAAACATCCTCTCCCTTCCCTTTTGCCTTAACATACAAACTTTATTTCTGCAAATTAATGTACAGTATTATGTACTTCACACAGAATTAACTGACATATATAAACTGCTTTATAGAAAGCTAGTTTGATTATAATAATATATAATAATATAGAAACCTGGTTTTATTTTATTTACATTCTGGGAAGATGGCGTCGATGACTCTGAGGAGCGAACAAAGTGCAGATTGATCACACAACTTGCTATTGGACCTCAGTACCTGCAATGAGGAAAGATATGATAATTGGAGTTAAAAAAAAACAAAGGCAAGCTGAGAGGACTGGTTGAAAACGAATAAAAAGGCACAATACCGTGAATGGAACGATACATAAATAACTCGCACATAGAAAAGAGAAACTTTTGACGACGCTTTGAGACTATTTAACGGTCCAAGTCAGACCGAAACGTCGTCACAATTTTTTTTCTCTTATGTGCAAGTTATTTGAGTATTGCTGATTATTATTATTATAATCAAGGGGGAAGCGCTAAACCCGGAGGATTATACAGCGCCTGGGGGGGGGGATGTGGAAGGCATTCAGGCTTAATTCGGGGAACTGGAGCACAGATCCAATTCCCTAAATCAAGAGCCCCTCACCAACATCAAGGAACCTTCCTTGAGGGGTGAGTATTGCTGAAAACTTCGGTAAAGGAAAAGGACATGTGGGATGACCACAGTATACCAAGTATATCGCTAGTGGCTCATCGACCCTGAATGCTTCCCATTCTACCAGGAGCTATATGATCCTTAAGAGTTTTGTGCTCCTTACTGAATGTAAGAATAGAAATAGATAGATGTATTTAGGTCACTGTGTGATCCGATAAAGGTATCCCCATAGTGCGCTGTCCCCTTCACAAGTTGTGGGAAAACACACTAGAGCCACGTGAGTTTCCGTCTCCTAATATAATAATAATAATAATAATAATAATAATAATAATAATATTTTTATTTACTACAAGTACATGTACAAGGTAAACAGTCCTAGCTGACATCAATGATATGCTACTATAGAGAAAGTCCCTTGTTATGCTGAACATTTCGGGCAAATTAGGTCAGTGTCCCAGGATGCGACCCACACCAGTCGACTAACACTCAGGTACCCATTATACTGATGGGGAACATAGACAACAGGTGGAAAGAAACACGCCCAATGTTTCTACTCCGGCTGGGAATCGAGCCCAGGCCCTCGCCGTGTGAAGCGAGAGCTTTAACCACCTTGTCCATAATTACTATCGCATTTGCTTTGTCTGCTTTCGTAAGGTAAAGTCCAGGATCTTTCCTTAATTCATGGTATAACTTAACAAATCTTTGAAGACAGTTGTGTTGCAGAGGTCTCAGCAAAACCCAGACACAAACTTTGCTCATACCTCTACAACACAGTTGTCCTCAAAGATTTGCTAGGTTATACCATGAATTAAGGAAAGATCCTGGACTTCACCTTACGAAAGCAAAGCAAATGCGTTAGTAATTATGGACAAGGTAGATTATAGGGGAAAAATAACAAATTATTAAAAGACAAGGGAACTGACGTGTTACCACTGGAACGTTATCAAGTGTGTCCTCAATAGGCTTTTTCTTTGGATCAAACCTAATTACCTCCCATTCCTTTGACGTATAACCCTTATGGAATAAGCGCATATTCCTATGATTATGATCATATAAAGATGCATTTATATACTTACCCTTGTGGGTTTAGCGCTTAGTTCTGATTGTAATAATAATAATAATTATATTGTTAAATCAAAGCTGTATGACCCATGTGGTTTTAATGCTTAGTTTTAATTATAATAATAATATATTCTTAAATAAGAGCTTCATTTGAGCAAATGGTATATATTCTGTGGAGTATATATCTCTCTCTCTTGATGTATGTACACTGGGAGAAGCAGTGTATATGCACTTAGAAAGGTGTATAACTAAGTACACTTACGCTTAGTGATTAATATTACTCTATCTTAGGGATTGAAGTATCATCGACTGGTGGTGTACTGGTGACCTGCAGCCTTATTGGCCCTCGTGTAGTCATTAGGTTTCAAACCCTATAAACCAACCATGTTGTAAGAATATATATAACCTGAGAAGTGGATATCTCCCAGTGTATATTGAACAAGAGTTTACTTTAATCACTATTTTAGGGATTCAATATTCTTGACTGGTGTTGAACAGGTTGCATGCAGACTTAATGGCCCTCGTGTAGTAAACAGGTTTTATACGAGCAGTCAACCACTCAACCGACCCACCAACGAACCCACCAGCCATTCTATCCACCAACCAACCAACCCACCAATGAAAGTTGCGCAGGGCTGAACGAGGGTATAAAGCGGGTGGCGAGTGGAGTTCCCAGTCCATCCGTCTCCAGGACCCGTGGCAGTGTGCGTGGCTTGCTACACCCAGTGTTGCTACCTCAACCTTTCTGGTACACACATACACACACACACACACCCTCCGTGCTACCGAGTTACACAAGGATATACTGTATACACCCTAAGGTGAACATCTGTATGTATATATACGTATACTTGAGAGTATTCTTTAATCCCTATTTTAGGGATTAAGATATTTTTGACTGGTGATGGACAGGTGACATGCAGTCTTAATAACTTGTCGAATAGTTGAGTCGATCTGAGGCATAAAATAAGTTGACGGCTGCTTGTATTTGCAATGATATCGAATAACTGCGATAGGAAAATGAGTATTGTGTGAAAAAAAAAAAAAAATAAGAATGAATTAATACTTGTGAATTCTCTTAAAAGGTGATTGGTTTTGATCGGAAATAAAAGCTCAAATATCGAATAGGGGAAATTAATGGGTAAACGATTGCTTGTTGGTTTATGGAAATTGACTGTTTGCTAATGTATTTGCAAGTGGCAACGTTTGCGTCCAGGCTGCAGCGAAGGTGCTATGACTTAAAGATTGAACTCAGGCGACTAATCACGTTTTCGAAAGCAAAATATTGAAAACATAGTTCATGGTACACGAACAACTGATTAGTTTATCGTTCCTTCGTGAATAAACAACAAATGAATTGATAATAAGAGCCACAGGAAAGTATCTCGTATTGTGACTGGACACTTGAAAACTGACGAGTGGAAGTGACCGTGTTTGTGGAGAAGTAAAACTCTCTTAATAATCCTTCCAAAGTGTTTTATTATTATAAAAACAGTCAGCGGACTGCTGCAAAATTACTATTTTTTATAGACAAGCACGTAAAGAGAAAACTAAAGATGACTGAAATATTTAAAACTAAAAAAAGGCATGTTAAACTATAGGTATTTAGTTCATTAGTGGAGTTCATAAGTGCAGAGTAGAAATCAAAGATTTATCGACACTGATGGGGAAATAAGCCTAGCTTATTGAAATGAGTCGGTCCCACACTCCTCCACAATGTGTATATACACTATATTTTTACAGTGAGGTTATATGTATATATATATATATATATATATATATATATATATATATATATAATATATATATATATATATATATAAATGCAAATATTGCAAACCAAGCCATACAGGATGCAAAACATCAACGGGAGAAGTAGAATGATAGCTCTAGGCCTTTCGTGTTGCAATCAACACATCATCAGGAACTTGCAAAATTACAGAAAGAGGAGGATGTCCAAGCAAGTACGTTCCCAGAGGACTCCAGTGAAGACGGTCCTCTGGGAACGTATTTGCTTGGATATCCTCCTCTTTTCTGCAATTTTGCAAGTTCCTGATGATGTGTTTGCAACACTAAAGGCCTAGAGCTGTCATTCTACTCCACCCGTGGTTATTTTGCACAATATAAAATATATATATATATATATATATATATATATATATATATATATATATATATATATATATATATATTATAATATATCTATATATCAGGGTTGAAATTTTATTGCTATCGTTAACAACATTCTTCACCATGAGCTGGGTGCTCATGAACCAGCTGTTACCAAGTTGGGTGCTCATGAACCAGCTGTTACCAAGTTAGGTGCTCATGAACCAGCTGTTACCAAGTTGGGTGCTCATGAACCAGCTGTTACCAAGTTGGGTGCTCATGAACCAGCTGTTACCAAGTTGAGTGCTCATGAACCAGCTGTTACCAAGTTGGGTGCTCATGACCCAGCTCTTGCCAAGTTGGGTGCTCATGACCCAGCTCTTGCCAAGTTGGGGTGCTCATGACCAGCTCTTGCCAATTGGGGTGCTCATGAACCAGCTCTTGCCAAGTTGGGTGCTCATGAACCAGCTGTTACCAAGTTGGGTGCTCATGAACCAGCTCTTGCCAAGTTGGGTGCTCATGACCCAGCTCTTGCCAAGTTGGGTGCTTCATGAACCACTGTTACCAATTGGGTGCTCATGAACCAGCTCTTGCCAAGTTGGGTGCTCATGACCCAGCTCTTGCCAAGTTGGGTGCTCATGACCCAGCTCTTGCCAAGTTGGGTGCTCATGACCCAGCTCTTGCCAAGTTGGGTGCTCATGACCCAGCTCTTGCCAAGTTGGGTGCTCATGACCCAGCTGTTACCAAGTTGGGTGCTCATGAACCAGCTCTTGCCAAGTTGGGTGCTCATGACCCAGCTGTTACCAAGTTGGGTGCTCATGAACCAGCTCTTGCCAAGTTGGGTGCTCATGAACCAGCTGTTGCCAAGTTAGGTGCTCATGAACCAGCTGTTACCAAGTTGGGTGCTCATGAACCAGCTGTTACCAAGTTAGGTGCTCATGAACCAGCTGTTGCCAAGTTAGGTGCTCATGAACCAGCTGTTACCAAGTTAGGTGCTCATGAACCAGCTGTTGCCAAGTGAACCTCTCAGATTCAGAATAAAATAAATCTCTCTTTTATAATTACACTGATCCCAGCAGAAAGAAAATATTTTAGCGATCAAACCAATTTCATACCTTCTTTTTTTTCAACGCACTAGGTCACGTTCCTGACAATATAGCCGTAGCAGTATGCAATATTTTTCATGCTGCTCTACCGATACAGTTCATCGTACGTGCGTTTGTATGTACGAACATATTTGCTGGGACGTGTTTGCTTGGATTTCCTCCTCTTTTCTGCAACATTGCAAGCTCCTGATGTGTTGATTGCAACACGAAAGGGCTAGAGCTATCACTCGACTCCCCCATGGTTGTTTTGCATTATATATATATATATATATATATATAAAATATATAATATATATATATATATATATATATATATTCAGTATGCGTACGGGTTTAGAGCTTTCTCATGAATATAACAATAGTCAAACATTCGTATAAAACTACCTGGCCAAGTTTCCTTTGGGAAAACTAAGTGTTTGTCCGTTCCTTCTCTAGTTAAACTCTTCGGTATTACTGCGAACAAAAAAAAAATTATTAATATCCAATAATTCCTCTCAGTTACTTTTTCTTACAATGTTCAGATAATTCATAATACACTGATTAATTTACAGAAATTTGGAAGTATATATAGTGAGAGGTATGTTTGTGCGTTTTAATGTTGCATTAGGTATGCAATAAGAGTTCAGAGTTATCCTATATTTTTTTTGCGATTGAAATCTTGAAGTTAGTGCAGAGATGAAGAGCCGTCACAACGACGCTCGTGGACTCCATTATCACTAAACTAACAAACTAATAAATTAATTGTAAACAAAACTTACAAAGTGTAGTGGATGATATTCCTTCCGGGTGCAATATCATGTTCTCTTTTACTTTCTTGCTTTAAATGATTATACCTTCACCTTAAGGAAGTCAGTTTTAATCGCTCAAATGACGCTGAAACAGTTGTTTCAGCTTAACGTGATCATTAATTTGGTTTTCAATGAAACTATTAAACTGGTGTGGCTTTAAATTGTTGTGATAGTGATGGGAGAGTTAACTTGTTTGACAAACAGAAGGTGACAACAGTATTTACCGGCCTGTTTATCTCCGCCATTTCTCTTGCAATCAGAAAAAAAAGAGACGTAAATTTAGAATTCCATTTTTGCAGGTCAGTTGAGCCACAACTCCGTCAACAACACACCGCCAACACTCCATCCTTCTTGCATCAACTGCATGACGTTTGTTTATCTAATTTCCGTCTACTGACTCGTGTAGTCCTCTGGTTCGCTAATCTAGACAGATTTTTTTTTTCTATGTCAGCGCCTCTCCCATCTCTATAACCTCTTCTCTTCCATTCCATTTAACTCATCTAGCGCTTTACTAGCACCCCTTCTCCTTTATTCTTTCAAACCCCTTCCCTTCCTTCGAAAGTTACCTTTAGCATCTACCTTCGTCACTACCTCACCTTCCGTGAGCCATCATCAGCATCAACTACCATCACCACCGTCAATCTCTGCTCCTGTCAACAACCACTTCCATCAACCATCATTAACATCAACTAACAAGTAAGTCACAGATAATAGTATTATCATAAAAAGTTTATTTAGCATTGAAATTAACAAATCACTGATTAAGACAAAAATGGTGCAATGCAGATTAGTAAATATCGCAAATTCCTTCTCTCAGTAAATACACAAAATAAGAGTATTGATTTAGTAATTTGTATTGTATCCACCCACGGTCAGGGGCAATGAACGGGAGGATGTTAAGGCAACAGCAGCTAAACTGAGTGTTGAAAAGCACAAAATGGAAATTAACATGGATCCCCAATAGAAGCAAGTCACATTTAGTGACTGTCTTGGGCTTTCCTTGGTTAAATATACATAATGTAATGTATGTGCAATAAGATCAACGTATAGGTGATATCACGATATACAAAACAACTACTTTGAAAAAATAATGAAACTCCAAACTCTTTTCTGCTTGATAATGTGAGAAATCTCGAAAGCGCTTGAAATTTCACTATTTTTTCATAGTGGTTGTTTTGCATTATGTACTGTACATTATGTACTGTACATTATGTACTATACATGGTTGCGACTTCAAGACTGTTTTAAAGAGGATTGCATTACGCATGAAATACCCAGGAATTAAACTGACAATGACTGCCCAGTGCCTGGAACTATTATTTGCCTCTGTAATCCTTTGATTACCGTCCACAGGATGGGTATAAGGTGCATAATAAGGATATTAAACTAAAAAATAAAACATGAACGACATATATCAGCATGTTCATGAAACCTGCAACAACCTGCGTAGGATGTGGGTGTTTGGCCGCTTCTTTCCACAATAATCACTGAAATTATTCTCTATAATGAGAATAAGGCACTAACACCTCACCCATAGTCACCTCACCTACTGGCAGGTATTGCTGCCTCTCTTACTTGTGGTGTGTTGCTCGCTTAGAAATACATTTTAAATGTATGATCCAGGATTCGGCCGTTTGCCTTTTTTACGTAAGCAGAGATGTTGTAATTAGAGAATTCTTTTGATATGAAGTATTTAATGCTTCCAGTTGATGCTGGTTATTTCAGTTTTTTATGAAAATGTTAATAGTTG